TAACAATAAAAGAACTACTTTTCAAAGATGTCAAATCCGAGAAATTGTTAAAGAACACATGCTTATATTTCAACGATCTTCGTATGAAGTTACTTGAATTTTTTTTTTTTTTTAAATCACATTGAACCTGTAGTTCAACGTCACAAACGCACATCCATTTCTTTTATTTCTACTTTATTTTCTTTGGGAAAATTTTAACGATGGTAAAAAAAATGTACGTATGTACTTATTTGGACTTTTTATTTCACAAAACATAGAACGAAAGATAAAGACTTACAGTACGGTAAATTTTTAACAATAATTAATAGTTATATTAAATTGATTTGCCTTAATTAACAAGTTTGGAAAAATTCAAGCAGTTTCAAGTTTATCTCACTGATTTTTCAAGGTGTATGTAGGTACAGACACACTGATAAATAATTCGTTTACGAACTAAACTCAAAGTTGTGATTGCTTAATGCATTCTCTTTGCTAAAGTCGAATGATGGCGTGATTTCGCAAACAACTGTACAAATCAGCTTTGACAAAAGTAAATAAGAGAACGTTGAATCTGCAATATGTAATAAATAAATGGTTTCATATATTAAATTCAATAAACACTTTCATGTTATACTATTTAGAATTATTTTACATCTTCAACATTATCAACTGTAGGTATATGTAATACAAATGTTTGGTGTTGTTGGTGGAGGTGGTTAGATGGCGTTAGGTACCCACAGGACACTTGCAAGATCATGATCGATCACCACATTACCAGCACATACATTTTCTTACGATTCCTTGTAGATGTTTTGTAGACTTCTAATATTTATCTTTAAAGACATCTGCGAAGGTTACGTTTCCCATAGATGTCTTCAAGATATACATTAGAAGTGTACAAGACATCGAGAAGAATTCTTGAAGAAACATGTTTTTTGGGTCCAGTATGCCACATCTGTACTGTGGCTGTGTATGTAAATTTTATGTCAATAGAAATACTATTTAATTTCATATATTGCAACAAATTTGTGTTGATGAAATTATTTGCTAACGTTTGGTGGTAAAAAAAATCCCTATGTTTTCTACGTTAGAAAAAATAATTTTTCAAAATTATTCAACTCGATAATTGTGTTCAATATTTTTACAACTGACTTAAGTAATAGACTTCAAAATGTATGTTAATAGAGAAAATTGATAAGTTTGTTTTGATGTTAAATGAAATTAAATGTCAAAATTTAAAATTTTCTTTCTATCCATGCTTGAAACTAAACTGCATTTTGCACGAAAAAATATATGTAATGCACCGAACCAATAATTGAAGTGTTACGGTAGACAAAAGACCTATACGTTGATGATAACTTGTCAAAAAACTATTTTGTCTGGTAGGTAGATTATCAAAAAATGATGAAAACGTATTTTTTCTTAATAGCAAAACTTATTAGTTAAGTGGACCATGAAAAACAGAATGTTTTTTTTTCCCTTTTTTGTTCATCAAAAATGCACAATGAATCATCTTAATCATTGAAATAGAAAAATTTCTTGTTTCATTACTGTTTTACAATGTGAACTAAACCGCATATTTACCAAAATCCACATGGTCCATAAGGTAGATTATAAGAAATATTGGATTCGTATTCTATTAATTTTTACGCACATAAAAAAATGTCAGAGATCATCATATTAAGGAGTGATAGGTGATGACGTCAGGAAGTCTTAAAACTCCTTTTGATGACTTTTAAACGTCACTGGCCCCTTGTGGCCCCCCATTCTCAAACTATTTTGCTGCATCTCCGTCGTTATTTATTTGTGTAAAAAAAAGGGAAAGTGTCATAATTTTAATAATTCATATAAAGGACCAATTAAAATGTATTGCATTAGAAATTATGATAGTTATAATATTTTTCGTTACAACATAAATGAGCATGGTAAAATTATTTAGTATATGATTCATCTGAGTACATATTAAAACTGTTTTATGAATAAATTGAAATTGATTTAATTACGTAATTTACCTCGTAAGGAGTTATATAAATGACTTATATGTAATATGTACCGAGTATCTCAATTTTTCTGTAGTTTTCAATTGTAAATTTGTACCAACGAATTCATCTATATATAAATAAGAATTTCGATAAAAAATTTACAAGCGAGAACGGCGACGTTTTTGACAAGTGTTTCGAAAATACAGTGTTAAACAAAAAAAAAATTAATTAAACACGTTAAAAATTATTTTTTAAAAAAGTCTCATTTGCTTGGACTAGAAAACTGAGTATGAAACAAAACGCGGCGCGCAAACAAGTTCATTCATGTTTGGAGTGTCAACAAATCGCTTTTCTACCAGCGTCCTCAGAATCCGTAAATGCAGTAGAATAAATTTAACTAAATCATGTAACTCTCTCCCATACGATAAAATACACATTTAAGGCCTTTTGTGCACACAATTTTGTATACACGTGGATTTCCGTGTTAAAAAAGCATAAGAATCACACCAATGCTATTTACTGCATTTTTCCCCCTAAAAAACCCGGAACATAATTCTGAATAGCCGTGTGTTCGTAAGTACAATAACACAGACGATGTACTTAGATGATTATAAAAATACCAACATACCTGTGGTAACAACTTGCTCGAACAAGATACAAATACGTAGATAAGTTTTCGTCTTCAAGAATCGTCACTCGCTGCATTCAATTGTTTCGTTGAGTACTGGAATCTACTGTAAAATAGTGCTACGACCAAGGTCACCTTCTTGTCAATATCACTTGAGTTCAGCGATGCACAAAAGAGGTATGTATGACATGCACAAGTACTCGATTGTTGATAAAAAAAATCCTTTGATTTTAGTTTTTACGAAAGCCGAATGTTCAGATGTTTTCTCGTGTATTACTCGGAAATTCGTGTTACACCGTTTGGAGACACGTGTGAGACAAATATAACATTCCCCGACACTTTACGCTTATTCCAAAAAAAGCGATACCTTAATTAATACAACTATTTATAAGAAAAATTTTAATCACGACGTAGCAAGAGCCAGCCCGTCGAGTAAGTCGAGTTGTCGTGCGGCATTTGCAGGGCACGCGCGCGTGTTTATGCTTATGGTTTGTGGTGAAAAAAATCAAAATACACGAAGGCGCAGCCATTACGCGCAGCTGCAGTTGCTGCACTACGCGCTCATTGGCTGAGTTTTTTTTTTCTCTCAACTACCCATGCGCGCCAAGTTTGAAATTCTTGTTAAAAGTTTGTAAATATATTTTTATATGAAAAAAATTTTTTGTTTAATACGTCTTTCTGTAAAGATGTATTTAAAATTCTACTCAGTAGGGATTGTATTTTTGCATTAATTTTCAATTCAATGTAGTATTTTAATCATAAATATGCATATATACATACATTTTCTTGAAATAAGTTTATTAGCAATTAATTAGCGATCATCAAAAACATCATTGATGAACATCCATGCAGGAAAGTACATTTTGTTTTTTTAGCCATTTGTTTAATCGCAATTGGTTAATGATTAAATATGATGATCTCCCTCCTGTGTGTCATTACAATTCTACCGTCAACATTTTTGTAACGCGTAATTCTCTGATAATTGAAGAAGAATCCAGTTGAGAGAAACATCTTAAAAAATATGTCCAGAAACAATCCATACGTAAAGCCGAAAATTTATCCCCACTACCTATTATAAAACTACGTGGATGCACGCCGGGAACTCTCGAAGAACGCGTCGAATGTAGCACAGTGAACTGTGCGAATGACTTGCATCCAGCAAAAAAAAAAAAATACCAAAAATTGCGGAATCGTTTGCAGGTTTTGCAATTGCCATGTAAAAAATTGTCAGAGTATTATTTTTTTGTAAAAAAAATAAAATGTAGTACGTCCTGCGAGAATCTAATAAAACTATTATTTCGCCTCAACGGTAGAGTTTCTACTATTAAAATTATCACCAGTCGTTTGCAATCTAATTTCCAGTGCGTGTGAGGATCGCAAAGTAGTTGAATTAGTTATATTTATTCAATAAATAATTATATTTGTATACGAGAGTAAGTCGAGTAATCTTACTCCCACCTCCCACCCCAGGCCAGGGCGCATGCGCACTACACTCGAAAGTCGAAAGACGAAATACCAGCGATGGGATATAGTTCCGGCTAGATTCACCTGATGACCCGGGGTACTTAGGTACTGGCTACTACTATTGAATAATAAATTATCAAGTAATTACAAGAGCGCCAATTAAAAAGATCTTTGTCGTACTAGATAGGCAATCAAAATTGTGATATGGTTAATATGTTATCGATCAACTTTTTATTATTTAATAGTGTTGCAAACAAGTGTCCTGGATCATCAGGAAAAAGGTGCTTAACATATTTCTGAATAATTATTTATTTACTAGATTTGGAATTAGCGCCTCAGGTTATACGGTGATAGGCGCTTGTGTTATTAATAATTATTTATTTAACAGAGTGGCCAGTAAGCACACTGGGTCATCAGGTGATGGATGCTTGTGTTATTGGACCTTATTTGAATCTCGCGCGTCTTCTTCGGTACTATTTTTTTTTTGATCTAGTGATTTCCCACGTCAGAGAGGTTGGGTCCTAGAGAATTTCCAAATCTGGCCGGAACTATATACTATATCCCATCGCTGGTATTTCGTCGTTCGACTTTCGAGTGTAGTGCGCATGCGCCCTGGCCTGGGGTGGGAGGTGGGAGTAAGATTACTCGACTTACTCTCGTATATAAATATAATTATTTATTCAATAAATATAACTAATTCGACTACTTTGCGATCCTCACACGCACTGGAAATTAAATTGCAAACGACTGGTGATAATTTTAATAGTAGAAACTTTACCGTCAAGGCGAAATAATAGTTTTATTAGATTCTCGCAGGACGTACTACATTTTATTTTTTTTACAAAAAAATAATACTCTGACAATTTTTTGCATGGCAATTGCAAAACCTGCAAACGATTCCGCAATTTTTGGTATTTTTTTTTTTTTATTGGATGCAAGTCGTTCGCACAGTTCACTGTGCTGTCGAATGTCGACACGTTGACGGTCGAACAGTATTAAATTTCGGCTGCTTGGGCATACCTATATATAGTAATGTATTTACAAAACCGTCCTCATTAAGTTGAATTTTATACTATATAAACAAAGTGATTTTTGTTACCTTTACCGAGTGTTTATTGCATTTTGTTGTCTTGTACCTGTTAGCGTTTCAGAATACTTAGTTTGTAGAATTTTCATTTATAACAGAGGTGTTTACGTAGCCAAAAAAACTCGAGCTAAGTAGATCGAATTTTCCCGAAAACCGTGCTCTTTTATGATAGATAAGGAAAAGTTGTATGAGAGTGGTCATGTAAAATTATGATTACCTGCAAGGAAAAAGACTATCGGTTGTGGAATTGAATAATTATGATCTACGAGTGAAATAAGAAAACTAATATACAGTTACCATTTTAAACTAAATAGCTGCATACCGTACAGGCTAGTTTGTTTATTGTATGATAAAAAAAACAGCTGGCTGTTTTCTGCATCATCATCATCTTTTGATTTGGCATTTAAGATATTCCTGTTGACTTTTCATTGAGAAACTATGAAAATTATTTGTTCAACTGCCAGTTTACTTCTTTTTATGATATTTATTTCAACAACCAAGTGTGATAAGTTATCCTTAAAGAAAAATAACAATGAAGAGGCTAAAAATCACCTTTTTCCACCATGTGCGTCCTGCAAAATACTAGTTGATAGCTTTAAAAGGGTAAGAAAATTTTTTTGATATCTAATAAAAGCAATCACTTGTTTCTTAGACTCTGACATGATCAATGTATGATTTCAGGGTATGGAAAAAACAAAAAAAGGAAAGTTTGAAGGTGGAGATGCGGAATGGGAGGAGAAAAAGCTTGGATCTTACCAAAAAAGTGAAATTAGGCTAGTAGAAATACAAGAAAATTTATGCAAGGATGTTAATCACGGCCAAAATCAGTGCTATTCTCTTGCCGAAGAGTTAGAAAGTCAGATGGAGGAATGGTGGTTCAATAATCAGGATACTCACGATTTTCATGACTACCTATGTATACAAAATGCCAAAAAGTGCTGTCCATTGAATCATTATGGACCAAACTGCGAACCTTGCAACGGATTTCCAGATAGTGTGTGCAATAACAATGGCAAATGTAAAGGTGCTGGGACAAGGATGGGCAATGGAAAGTGTACATGTGATAAGGGGTACACGGGAGACGTCTGTTTTGAATGTGCTGATGGATTCTATCAGTCCTATAAGGATGAAAAGAAGCTGCTGTGCTCACCTTGTCACAAGGCATGCAAAGGGTCATGTTCAGGTGGAGGTCCTAAAGAGTGTCTGGACTGCACCTCAGGATGGAAGTGGCTTGAAGGAAAGGGTTGCTATGACATTGATGAATGCTATGAAAATAAGACCAGCTGTCCTGAAAATAATTTCTGTATCAATACAGAAGGAAACTATACTTGCCTAGGTAAATTGTCATTAAATAATCTTTTCATTTTATTGCATGTACCAAGAAATCTTAAATTATTTTTATTTTCCTTCTAGCTTGCGACAGAGCTTGTAATGGCTGTTTTGGAGACGGTCCTGACATGTGTACCAAATGTGCTGATGGATATGAACAGAAAGATAATATATGTGTTGGTGAGTGTTCAAAGTGTTATGAAATTTACCATTATTAAGCTAACTAAAAACAGTTTCAAATGACTTTTTCCACTTTTCAGATACTAGTGATCGTACTCGCAAGACTACTGAAGATTACTACAGGTATGCAAGGTATCTAGGTCTCTCCGTGGCTACAGGTATTATTCTGCAACGCAACATTTACGTGGCTGCAGTGATTGGTCTATGTGTCGCTGTTTACATTACTGTTTCCGAGTATACAGTTGCACAAAATAGTGGCCAGGAACCTATCCTGAATTTAGATACTCTAGGAAAAATTCCAAAGTAGATTTTTTATTGATCTAATTAAAAAATAAATTGTGTGAGAAAACGTTGATGGAAAACAATGTACCATAATTTTTCTTAATATTTGTAAGATACAAGTTTGAAATAAGTCTTTACTAAATAAACTCTGTGATTAAAAAAAAAATTTTACATCTTGTTTTACTTCATTCAAAAAATATCACAAATCACGCTATTTGTTTGATTACAAACTATCTCCAATTGTAATGACGTACTTACCCATACTTAGTTTATTGGTGAAATATTAGATCAGTAGAGTAATATTGATGTATAATAATTTGGTAAAGTATCAATACAACAAATTTTTTTATAAATATTTTATTTGCATTAGTTTACTGATGCATTGTAAAATGCTTTTGCACATTTGGAACCTGCAGTTGTAATTTTCAACAAGTTTACAACGAAAATTAAATCGAATAAAATCTAAAGTTACACATACTTTTTGAAAAAAAGTTAACCAAAATAAAAATAATTAAAAAATTAAATCATCAACCTACAGACTAATATCATCAATGATAAATCACAAATTATAAGCTGGACGTCGATTAAAATATATATATATATGTATATAAAATTTGTGCGTTCGAAAAATTATCTAATTAAAATTCTATGGCAATATGGAACTTACGTTGGGTATATGATTAGGATCTTAATACCTCCATACCAAGCTAATCTAAAATATTTTTTTTGGATTCAGCTATAGTGTGAAGCATTAAATAATCTTTTTTTTATGTTTATCTTGTAAATTTTTTGCTAATATAATATGTAAATTCATATTAATCATATTGATAGCAATAGTTATTAAATACTATATATGTATAATTACGAAATTGCGTGTATATGCACTTACAAATCGCCAATAGACGAGTCACATTGATACCCAAGAGATCGTTGCAAAATACAGTTTTTCATACTCATAATCGTTATGTTTCTTATTAAAAAAATTTATCCCTTTCTTATTTATTTATTGCACATAGTAAACCACAAAGAAAGCTATACCATTTTTTTAATAATTATAATTATGCACACAACTACAAATTTAATCTAATTTGTAGGCGCCTCTTATTTAATTCACGCTCTGCTCACTAAATTGATTTTCTTTTTTTCTCATTCCTTTTTTTTTGTTTGTACAACGGTTTTGATTAAGAATACGTAATATTATGCTTATATTTATACTGTGTGTATTTATGGTAAACTATAAATTCGTTCCAAATTCTAAGTACTATTTTTTATTGATTGATTTATTTATTTTTTTTTTTTTTTATAAAATACTTTTCCCTTCCATTACCAACTTTGCCTCAGAAGTCAAGTCTGCTAAAAAACAGCACTACATGCTATTTGCAATTTATTTTATGATCGTCAAAGCAATTAATAATTTTTTGTGATTTTAATTTTTTTCACCCTACTGAACGTTTTATTACGTAAAAAATCTAAATATCTACCTTATTACTTCGAATCTTTAGGTTTATATTTACATTTTTATAAATAATTAATTGCATACACGTCAATTAATTGCTTTAACTTTCATGTCTAATTGACAAAAATGTTTTATACCATGAAAATAGTGTCATCCTTAATAGTTTTTAAGACTTGATCGTTTGTTAAAAATTCCAATCCAAGTCGTTCAACTATATTGTAAAAAAAAAAAAAAAAAAAAACATTGTTTTTATCTACAAAAATTCCCAAAAATGTGAATGAGCAATTTACTCGATTTGGAGTCCAAATGAATACGATTTGAAAAAAAGTTACCAAGACTTCTGTGACCTGAATTGTGACCAAAGTAACAAAACAGACCGTCTAAAGTTGACTAAAATAGATACTTAAAGTACAAATAAGAAAAATAATTTACATTTTTTGCACTACTCCTGCTTCAATCGAACAGGCTAAATGCATTTGGAAACTCTCAAGATTTGCATGTTTACGTATCCAAAGTTACAAAAATTTATAAAAAAAAAAATTATATAAAATGTTT